ATATAAAAAAATGTTTTGGCGGTGCCTGTGACTCAAGGAGTAGGGCACCAACCCCATATACTGGAGGTGGCGGGTTCAAACCTGGCTGTGGCCAAAAAAGGAAAAAAAAAAATGCAAAAAAAAAAAAAAATCACCATTTGGGTGGCACCTGTGGCTCAGTGAGTAGGACACCAGCCCCATATACTATGGGTGGTGGGTTCAAACCTGGCCCCGGCCAAACTGCAACAATAATAATAGCCAAGCATTGTGGTGGGTACCTGTACTCTCAGCTACTTGGGAGCCTGAGGCAAGAGAATCACCTAAGCCCAAGAGCTGGAGGTTGCTGTGAACTGTGATGCCACAGCACTCTGCTGAGGGCAACACAGTGAGACTCTGTCTCTAAAAAAAGAAAGCAAACAATTATGTTATTATTAGAAACCAAAGTCCAGGGCGGCACCTGTGGCTCAGTGAGTAGGGCACCAGCCCCATATGCCAAGGGTGGCAGGTTCAAACCCAGACCCGGCCAAACTGCAACAACAAAAAAAGAAACGAAAGTCCAGACACAGTGGCTCACATCTATAATCCTAGCACTCTGGGAGGCCGAGGCAAGTAGATTGCTCTGAGCTCAGAGGTTACAAACCAGCCCGAGCAAGAGCCTGAGCAACAGCAAGGCCCCCATCTCTAAAAATAGAGCCTGCTGGGCGTTGTAGCAGGCGCCTGTAGTCCCAGTTTCTCAGGAGGCTGAGGCAAGAGACTTGCTTGAGCCCAAGAGTTGGAAGTTGCTGTAAGCTATGACACCACGACAAAACTATCTCAAAAACAAACAAACAACAACAACAACAACAAAAAAGCAACAAGACTTTCCGTACTGAAAAGAGAAAATAATATTGATACGGCAAGTGTGGTGGCTCATGCTTGTAATCCTAGCACTCTGGGAGGCCGAGGCGGGTGGATCCCCTGAGCTCAGAAGTTCAAAGACCAGCTAAGAAAGAGCAAGAACCAGCCTCTACTAAAAAATAGAAAAACTAGGCTCGGTGCCTGTGGCTCAAGTGGCTAAGGCGCCAGCCACATACACCTAAGGTGGTGGGTTCAAATCCAGCCCAGGCCCGCCAAATGACAATGACGGCTGCAACCAAAAAATAGCCGGGTGTTGTGGCAGGCACCTGTGGTCCCAGCTGCTTAGGAGGCTGAGGGAGGAGACTCGCTTGAGCCCAGGAGTTGGAGGTTGCTGTGAGCTGTGATGCCACAGCACTCTACCCAGGGGGACAGCTTGAGGTTCCATCTCAAAAAATAATAGAAAAACTAGCCAGCATTGTGGTAGGTGCCTGCAGTCCCAGCTACTTGGGAGGCTGAACTAAAAAGGCCACTTAAGCCCAAGAGTTTGAGGTTGCTGTAAGCTATAATGTCATGGCACTCTACCCAGGGCAACAGAGTAAGACTCTGTCTCAAATAGATAAATAATGAATAAAATAAAATAGAATAAAATAAGTATACACACACACATATATAGACTGATATGAACTAATGATTATGCACACACATTTATTTCCTTGCTTTGACACTGGAAAAGGGCCAAAGCAAGGCCATCCTAATACATATATTTGGTCTCTAAAAACCATTTCCCACTAAAGACCTTAGAGAAGTAGCTGGTAACAGATGAAGGAAGAGAATTTACATGCTTGGCAAAGGGAAAAATGTTAAGTTATCTTTTGAGACAGAGTCTCACTCTGTTGCTCAAGCTGGAGTGCCATGGTATCAGCCTCACTCACAGCAAATTCAAACTCTTGGGTTCAAGTAATCCTCCTACTTCAGCTCCCAAAGAGCTGGGACTATATCCCCCTGCCACAGCACCTGGCTAATTTTTCTGTTTTTAGTAGAGATGGTGTCTTGCTCATGCTTAGGCTGATCTCAAATTCCTGACCTCAAGCAATCTACCTGTCTTGGCCTCCCAGAGTGCTAGGATTACAGGCATGAACCACCTCACTCAACCAGAAAAATGTAATTTTATAATGGAAGGATCAGGCTGTTACCACCTTAACCCAGTGATCAATTTCAGCATCACTAACAACAGTACTAACATTATACAACTGATGTGATGTGCTATGAAGCACAGCATTACTTCTAAAATATTCTAGCCAAAAATATTTCACCTGAACCTCAATAAGACAAATCTAGAAGGTAGGATGTTCTATGAGACAATTAACTTTGTCTCTTCAACAAGTACTATCACAAGAGTAGGGAGAGAGACAAATATTCACTTAGGACACACTAGCAACCAAATGCAATACATGGTCCATGTTTGAACAAACCACACCTAAAAAACATTTTGTAACAACCAAAAAAAGCATATAAATAGATTGTGTTAAAAAAAATTATTGTTCGGCTTGGTGCCCATAGCACAGTGGTTACAGCACCAGCCACATACCCCAAGGGCAGTGGGTCCAAACCCCTGGACCAGCTAAACAAGTGAAACAAAAAAACAGCCAGGTGTTGTGGTGGGTACCTGTAGTCCCACCTACTTGGGAGGCTGAGGCAAGAGACTCACTAAAGCCCAAGAGTTAGAAGTTGCTGTGAGCTATGACAACACAGCACTCTACCAAGGGTGACATAGACTGAGTCTCAAGAAAAAAAAATTACTATTCATTTATCAAGTGTGATAATACTATTATAATTATGTGAGAAACATCCCTACTTTTTCAGAGATGTATACTAAAGTATTTCAAGGTGAAATGCATGTTTTTTATTTACATCATTAAATTTTTTTATACACACATACATATATGTGTGTGTGTATATATATATATAT